ATCAATAGGTACAATTATAACAAACTTGTTAAGCATAAAAAAAGAAAATTCTAATAGCGTCAGATTTCTTTTTTTTTTCTTGGTATTTTATCCACCCTCTGAAGGCTGGTTGCAACAAAGAATTTATCTCTTACAATAGATCTGCCTGAGACATAAAATTCACTTAGCAGCTGCTTTCTGTAATGTAAGTGATTAATTTGGTAAAAAAACCCTATTTCATAGTAAATGGTATATTTCTTTGCAATTTAATTTTCCTCTCTTCTTTATGAGCACATTTTAATAATGTCCACTTACAAAATTATTAATGGGGTCTGTAAATGTAATTAAGCTTAAGCCTTGCTGAATTAATCCTTAATAAGATCAATTTTTACATTTCAAAAAAGTATAGAATGATTGGCTAATTATTATAATGGATTTGCCATACTCATCAGTTTACTTTGAGTAATAAATGTAGGGTTACATAGCTGAGTCTAAAGCCAGAGTTCAATAGTCTTTTCTATATTTTACTATTTAATCTAATTTAATTTTTTTTTTAATGCTCACCTAAAAGTTTAAAAAAATTGTAGTATCATCCCATTTCATAAAAAACCCCTGAGAATGAAAATGTAAACTTATGAAAACTGATGACATTTCACTTTTCACTGCATCTATTTTCCTTGTCAGGAAAGATGGGAAAAAGTAGGTAAACAAAAACCTGGGAATTAACTTTAAGGAAAAGTTTTAAATTTCTTTTAGAAATTCTCACCTTTTTCCTTAATTTTCTTCATCTTTTCTTGTATTCCCCAGCTTCATTTTCATCTTTGAGGATTAGACCTCGTGCAAACTATCTTCCCCATAGATAATTAGCGTCCTCTGTACCTGCCATTCAAAGAGAGTAAAGTTATGGTCAAACTCTGTTCTAAAGCCTTCAAGTGCAATAGTTTATTTTAACTTAATGTTAATGCATCTGTGACAGCCTTGTCTAGTGTGGTCTGTCAGTGATGGAGTGAACATCAGGTACCTGTGACACACCCGTCGTGTCTGCTCTTTGATCTTTGCAAAGCTCCTCTCCTGTAAGGCATCAATGGAAATCCTCCCCTCTTTCACAATTACATTCGAGACACATCAGAGAGCATTTATTTAATCAGTATAAGCAGCGATGGTTGCATATCTATTGAACCTAAATAAAGTAAAAGACCTTGTATAAATACGGGTCATCGGTGGTTACCTTTCCCAACTACAAATCTTATTAGGAAATAAATTACTTTGAAATGAGCTAGTTTCCAAAAGCCCATGTTGATTGGATTCATCTATGCAGTTAGTCATTATTTGGGCCCATAATTTGCTAGGATCAATCTCATAGGGATAGGCCAATGATTACTCAAGGCATCTTATTTAGCCTTTTACAAGATAGCATGTTTACTTAGTTTTGATCTTCCCAAACTTTCCTATTGTTTTGTTACTCAACAAAATAGAAAATTTTTAACCATTTCTTCTAAAACTTTTAGATGCAGAATTTTTAAACGGTGATTTTATAATTTCTAATTAAATGCTCCTGTATTTTTGTTTTATTAATACTTTTATTTTTGCATCTGATAGGAGCATGGCAGTAGCAGTATGATTTCATCTGCTTTTAATGCACTTGGGCAGTCCTTATTTCTATCAGTCACTTTCCTATCAACTACTTAAACTTACCTTCTTTTTATTCTTTGATCACCTACTTCTCATTTCCAACAAATATTATTTTGCATTTTTGTATTTTATGTGTCCATTTATATGTGTAAATACACAGGGTTATTAATGCAATATATATGTATAATTTATGTGTTACATGTATCATAAGGTACATAATAATTTTATGTAAGGAGAGAAATATATATGGCTCAATTTTAAGTTCCACTTTTTTCTTTTTTTTTAATTTACAGGTGGCTTTCTTGTCTAACTGTGGTACATTAAATGGCTTTTAAAGTATTATTTGACCATGTCCCACTACTATTCATTGTATCTTTTTCTATTTAAATTCCTTCTCTGAAGTTTTTTGTCTGATATTTATTCCCAGTTTTTGTATAGATGTATATATATTTGTATTTCTAACAGAAAGTAGTAAAAGTAATCAAGTCGCTTTTATAGTTTAAATAAAGAGGCAAATCTCTAGCAAGTCATGATTTTTCTGTTCCTGAATAGAAATTTTTGAATTACCTTCCTGAGGGCCTGAAGTTAATCCTGTATCATTGCCCCCACTGACTCAGTATAAACAAGATGAAGCCATATTATCTAAAGTGAGGTGATTAGACATTATAGAGATTAGCAGTTTGCTAACAGTTGAAAATGAAACTTCACTTTGGTGGACGTAGCAGCAAGAACTGTTACTTTAGAAACAGCAGAACCTGAGGGAGATTTAACAACAGCTGTGATAAATACTGTAGTTAGATTACCCTTAATTTACAGAATCAAATGTTACATTTTTCTTCTTCTCACCATTCTTTACTTCTGAACTCTTTCTTGGACATACTTATTGAGAAAAACTTGGTAAACTTAATTTTAAGTTATTTTAAAATGCGCCTATGTTATTATTCTTCTATAGTATCATAAGTCATGTGCTAACAGTGCATCATGGTTCTGCTAATGAAATGGAATTATTTGGCCTTCAACATCACAGGATTGAATATGCACCTGAGGTTTAGATTTATAATACAAAAATACATATCTCATAATATATATCATTTAATGACCCGTTCCTTAAATTTAACAGCCCAAATGCTTATTGGGAAACTATTCAATAAATAAAGAAGTGAAAAAGCAGCCTTTGTTGTGGCTAGTTAAGTATGTCAAACAAAAGCAGGTGTAAATTAAAAAGTCATCTTTGAAGTTTAAAATATATTTAAAATCCATACTGTGCTGCTGTTTCCTAGTAGCCAGGACTACGGAAGAGAGATTTCTTGCCCTGATGATGCCATGGTGGAAACTGCACTTCAAGAGACAGCTTTGCAAATGGACGGGAGCTCCTGGAGGAGCAATGGGGCAGGGGGATGTGCCTGGAGAGCAGGGCCTGGCACTGGACCAGCAGAGGGGCTTGGCTCAGCCTCCCTCCCTCCCTCTGCCCTGGGGCTCCCAGGGAGCATCCCACAGCTGTTCTAGGCTCTGGGGGCTGGAAACACACCCTCACCCTCACTAATTTAACAGGTAATATTACACATTGTTAAAACTTTTTAATGTCTAACAGCTCAGCTAATGAGGGCTCCACCAAGATCTTCATAAATATCTGCTTAAGGAGGAATCTGGATTACTGAGTTGTAACATATGGAACAGTATTTGTTCATTTTGTCCATTTTTCCTTGAAGGTTCCTACCCTTCTCTGCCCATTGTTGTTAGCTCTTGTTAAATGCTAGCCCTGATATTGACAGGTTGTGAGTTTTTTTTCCTTCATGTGCATCTGTTCAAATATCAAATTTAGAATCTTATAAATAGCACTAAGCTCATCCCTGTTGAAGCAAGAGGATATTTTAGGTTCTCCAACATGTAAATTCGACAGACTGGAGTTTTCACCAAATGTCTTAAAAAGTAAGTAATCTTAACTCCAAATTCTTTTGGAAAATAAATTTATCTTTTCTGAATTCTGTTATACAGAGTTAACCATACGTGGTTAAGCAGTTATTTCATTCTGTATAGTGACAGCAAAGGACATAAAATACTTACTGGAACTGAACTATTGAGGTAGAGCTACCAACTAAAGTTTCTTAAAACATGTTCTGTATGAAATCTTCACTTAATTAATGCCTACGTGATGTGCAATTCCAAATAAAACCACAGTAGCTTGGTACAATTAATTTCTATTCATTCATATTTAAAATGTAAAAATTATTTCTCTTTTAAATTTGGAAAACCTGCACAATTGATCGGCAGTTAAAAAAATAATGTAAGAGCAATTTCTACTTTGAGCTCTAGGTATAACAAGGAAATAGGTCCCCAAAGATTAGTCTGATAATGGGAAAAAAAATCACAAACTCTAATATGCAGCTTTTCAAGATCCCTGATGAAATACTAATCTTTATCACTTTTATCTTGCTAAGAGATTTGCGAAGATCTTTCCATAAGCAGAATGTGCTTGATAAATATTGAGATAATTCTAAGAATAACTGTGAGGTCCAAAGCATATTTTGCCAATGGCATTTGGAAAGCTGAAAATTAGGACAAAAGTGAAAAAAATGGGAAATATTAGGAGAGATGAATATCTAACATGAAAATCTAAGTAAATTGGATATGGCTATGGTTATAAGTCAGGTTATGTAACTTCTCTGTGGGTTTTAAGGGTTTAACTCCCTAAGTACTAGCCAGGTGGTGAAACATATGCAGCAGAAAGATAAGCTTTCATATCTTTTCTTTCACCAAGGAATCATCCAATCATCAATCCAATTCAATCACCAAGTATGCTGTCTTTTACCAGTCATGTTGCTAGCCAGTGAGAATGTTTCTCTGCTACCACTGATGTGCCAGCTGTGTCCCTGAACAGAAATCACAGATTTTGTGAACAAATATGTTTATTTTCTATTGTTTTATGAGAGTCATATCTAATATTGCGAAATATAAATAGTTGTAAAGAGCAATTGTTTTTGAAATCCAAAATACTTTCTAAAACCTTAATTTCTAAACTTTGAGATATGGTCATTTTTTTTTTAATTGAAAGTAGGAAAATGAGCTGCTTAAAACAATAGTTTACTTTATAAATACATATCTTCTTTCAAAATTGAAGTTTTTTTGGTAACAGTAACAAGAAAGGAAGTCTTGTATACCACTTCTAAATTAATATACTGTAACTTACAGTAACAGAAGATTAATTCCTCTTGTTACAGCTAAAGAAAGTGAAGGGTCTTATTTTTGTCACTTCCAAATTATCATGAGCTTCTGCAGAAAGATTCTCTTGAGTTTGTGGCTTTGCAGTTTGCTGTTTTAATTTAAGTTTAGGACAGTTCAAAACAGACTTGGGCTTGTTATTGATATTTGCAACCATTTTTCCAAACAGAATGTCAAATTTTGAGCAGTTTCAGTTCGACTTTTACCAGTCTAATTATACCATAGAGGACCAGGAAGAAGGTTGTGACAGCTATGGCTCAGACAAAAACCTCTGTGCAAGCAGACAGTAAGTATAGGAGTTGTTTCAGCTTCCCTCTTCTATAGATGGTGGTTCTGGGGCTGGCTTTGGGGCTTGAAGGAGCAGGAAAGAGATTCAAGACATCATCTAAACTTTCAGAAAGGCAGAATGCCTATAAGTGAATTTTTCTTTTTAAAGGATTTGATTTTCTGCTACTTTGATTAGTATAGGTGTTACAGGTGGTTTACCTGACAGGAGTAACTGAGCTTCATGTTACCAATGTGAAATTTAGTGTGAATATTGCAGGAAGTTCTTTAGGACCCTTCTGAGGTTCAGGGAAATGTGTGGCTCTTTCATTAGCACTATGGACGTATCTGAGGAGTGTCACCAGGATGCTGGGCAAAAAAAAAAAAAATGGTCACAAGTGCCCGAGCTGGAATTGTGCGCGGTGGGGTGCGGGGCTCTGGCGGGCTGGCGAGGAGCTCTGCGGGGCGGCCCGGGAGCTGCGCTGATGGACGGCAAAGGCAGCTCACAACTATTACCCACCGCGAGCACTGCACCCAGAAAACCTCCACGTTCCCCAAATTGAAAATAGGCGAAGTGCAGGTGGCACGTGGTGAGTAGCTCCGTTTCTCATTGTAGTCATGAGTTTGGCTGTGCTTTGCCTCTCGTCCCAGGAGCCAGACAGACAAGCAGCCTGCGGCTGGGGCTTTTGTCCCATCAGACATGCTTCCGTCCCCCCACAGCTACACGGGGCAGATTCTGCAGCCAGCGTACAGTCCTGACACTCCTCACCTTGGGTATGTTGATGGATTTGACGAGGAGCCTCCTTTGCTAGAAGGTAAAACTAATCCCACAGACACGCGTGATTCCTGGGGGTGCCTCTAACCTTTCTTTGCCAGCTAGTGGAATTCACCAGAGAAACTGCAGCAGAGCTGGCGAGCCTCGCCGTGTGAGCTGCAGCCAAAACTCCTGGCCCCCTAACCTGGATTCTCTCCTACAAATTCGCCATGGATTTATCCAGCCTGATGGCATTGGGCAGATATAGGGTACCACCGCTAGATGACAGCAGAACAATAGTTTTGCATTCACGTTTCCAAAACTGTTTCCCACTCTTGTGTTTATCCCGCATACATATTGGAAAATCTATAATTAATAAAGACAGATTTTTTTTTTCATATCTAGTAATAGATTTAGTAGTTTGCAGATGCTAAGTCGCTTGTTTCAGTGGGAAAGGAATTGGCAAAGCTGCTTTCAGTTTCAATTAGTTGATCATTTAACTATATGAGCAATGCCATTCTTTATGATGATTGACCATTCTAATGCTAGTGGCTGATTTTGTCGTTAGGAAAATATTTTTCCTATATTGGGGGGGGGGGGGTGTAACCCAGTAAATTTGTCTGTAATTATTTCAGCATAATATAACACGAGCATATTCAGCCTGCTAGTTTGGCATACTGGAAGGCAGCTGGAGTTTTTACTACACAAAAGGGACTAGTACTGCCTTAAAGCCAGCAAGATCATTCTGTTTGCTATAGATAGCTGCTACATCTCTACCTCTAAGACCTCCAACCATTTAACTCCCTGTGTGGTTCACCCTGGGAAAAAGATGTAATACAGCTGCTTGTGATCTGCAAGGCTTCAGAGATATTCCTATCTATGTACCGCATAAATCGGACCAAAAATACACATTTTAATGCAGAGTAGCTTTATATATACAGTGTTTTGGCTGAGCTCAAATGATGAGCTCAGTGATGGAGAGGTGGAACAAGATAAAGACGTGGCTTTCCAAACAGATCTAACACATTGCCATTCTCAGTCACTCTGGCGGCAAATCTGAACCTAACTTTTCCCTTACTGGAGAATCTCAGGGAAGATGATTATTCATGCAAGCTGAAGTGTTTCTCCAGAAGTTATAAAATAAAGCTTTGCCCCAACAAAGTTATTGGCAGGATTCCCATCACCTTTAGTGGGACAGAACTTGTTTCTTTTTCATAGGTCTCACTAATTATTTTTTAAATGCAAACATCCCACCCTCAAAAAAACCCCAAAACCAACCAAACAAAAAAAACCCAACAACCAGAAACCATGCACACAAAAAACCCCAACCAACACCAAAACCAAAACAAACAAGCAAAAAACCTCAACAGAAACAAACAAACAAACCAACAAAAAAAGCCCAAGCTTACAGAGCACTGTATGAAGTAGTATAAACCTGCCCTGAAGGGGCAAATGTCGTTTTAAACTGCTTTTGGCATTTCACGATTAAGACATATTTCTTGTCAGATTTTCCAGAATTAAAGCATATGTCTCTGTTCTCACTGTTGTATCTTAAATTCTGGAGTTATTGTTAATTAGCAAGTTTTTCACCATCTAAGTTAATGTGGCATTAGATATGTGTGTTTTAAATATAGGAAAAACAAATATTAACTCAAAAATGCTGAGGCCATTTTTTGCTTCACTGCCTAACATTTGATTTTATAAATTAATATTCCAATTTAGAATGAAAGCTGACTCTCAAATATACTGAGTATATAGCAGAGACATTATGTTCCTACTACAGAATATGTCATCCTACAATATTATCTTCACTGAAGCATTTGTTTGTAGTTTTGTGGTATCTAACAGGTTTTTGTAAAAGTGTTGTTTTCTTGTGAGCAATTAACAAAATCCTGAAATTTCTTGTTGCAGAACTTGGGATCAATTTTGAGCATATATGGCAGAAAACATTAACAGTTCTAAATCCAATGAAGCCTGCAGATGGCAGCATTATGAACGAGACAGACCTCACTGGACCTATGGTTTTCTGTTTGGCCCTTGGAGCAACATTGCTGATGGTAGGATGTGGCAGAAATCTTCAGGGATTTCTTTTCTAACAAGCTCATGCCTAAGTGATAATGAGTGTGAAGCTGCAGAAGATGTAGTACTGAAATAAAATGAGTCATTTGCTGCCGGTTGTTCTGGGATTAGGTATTAAAAATTCTGCATAAAATTTAAATATAATGTAAAGGTGACACAGATAAAGTGATGTATTACTTCCAGTGGAAAAAAGAGACCAGACCATTTTTAGGGTGGGATTTAATATGAAGAGAAGGACAGATCTGTGCTATATATAATTTGGAGAGGCTCTGAACAGGTTTTAAAGGAAGGAATAAAAAGGAATAGGAGGCCAGCCCGGTTTTTCTAACACTTTTGCTACTTTGTTTGAGATTATCTTCTTTCAATGTAATTTTAGAGACTGCCGAGACACATAGACTAAAAAACATCTTTATACAACTAGAATAACTGGAGAAAAAAGAAATGGAAACAGTCTTTTCCCCCCACTCCCTTAAATTTGCAATACCTTCCTATAAATTTTGCTAGTACTTTCTTATTTTATATTCTTTGTTCTATTTTGTCTGCTTAACAAAATATAGCAGCCTGTATTTGACCTCCTTCTTCTTTATGAATATAGCTTTCCTATAGGAGGAAAGTTTAACAGGATTGTGCAGGATTCCAAATTCGTCTATATATCACTGGCAACAGGAGGTCTCCAGTGTTGCTGAAGTACAACTTTTCTGGCAGCAATTTATCAGGCAGGGAAAAGGTGGGACCATTCTGGGAAGGGCTTTTCTGCCCTGCAACTGAGGTGATAGGAAAGGGGCTCTAATTCTCCATTTCCTTTGTGATAAATAGTGCTGAATCAGAAGATTTTTGAAAGTTCTTACTCAATTTGTAATGTCAGTGCAGTACCTTGAATGTGCAAACTGCAATATAAATGGCAAGTAGTATTATTATTTATGTTCCTATAAAAATAGAAATCTTTTAAAAGGGTGGAAGGGGCAGGAGGAAAGGGAATAAAAGGAAAAGAAGGTGGGAAGCTAGAGAAGATAGGCTATTTTCCACCTGGAGAAATAAATGTATGAGGGTAGTAGAAGGAGAAAGTTGAATTAATTATAATAAAAAAATGAAAGGAAAGCTAAAAGAAAGGGAAAAAATGTTTCCTGTTGATTTTTCTCCCTGAATAGCCAACAGTTATAATGAATACTAAACTATTATTATTTCAATAAATGACTTTAATTATCATACATTTTTGGGGATATTAAGCATTTTAGGTGTCATTAGAAAGCCAAGTATTTTCAATGCTCAGGTTTTAGGGCAGCAGAACACGTCTGACACAATCCAGTGTTTTTGTTCCATAACTTCACTGCAGTAAGTCTATGGGTCTATCTTAGAAATTCAGGCTACCATTTCATCTCAGATGTATTTGAATTACTAACGTGTCTCTTCAGCTGTGTAAACTATGATATCCTTTTGTACTTAAGTAAGTATCTTCTGATAGCACCAGGAACATAATTTGGTTGAGAGCTTGTTTCTAAAAATAATGTATACATTTTCTTTAGTTTCAGCTTTTTAACTATGGAAAATTATGCAAAGATATTCTTCAAAGGGTAGCAGTTCTTTCAGAGAAAAAGAGGAAAGGACTGCTAGGCTGGCAACAGGACTTGTTCTTCCTCATGTTAGTGTAAAACAGGGCAGCTCCATTATAGATAGAGAAGCCATGGCAACACAGAATTTAGCACAAGCCCAAGTCTCACCTGCTTTGCATTTTATGCTGTCATTTGTATGAAATCAGGCTTCCCCATCCACTTCAGCTAAAGGTAGTAGTACCCACTCCAGGCAGATGCAAACAAGAACACAAAGTCTGACTTTCTCCTAACCTTGCTCCTTCCGCAGGACAAATTTAGCTCTTTCCATTCATCAAAGCCTGTCAGACTAATCAAGCCTGATTCTGGTTTTGCTTACATCACTGTGAACTGGGAGTATTCCCGTGTGTGTGAATCAATATATTTACATATGTTAAGTAAGACTAAAATCAGAACCAACATGTACGGCTGTTTGTTGGGTTTTTTTCCCTTCTCTCATATCCTTGCACCACAAGTCCAACATTTCACCAATTGGAGATCTCAGCTAGCTGCTGGTGCTAGTGCTCCCTTCATCTCTGGCTTAGGAAATTTTTAATCTTAAACTGAGCTACTGGATAAATGGTGCTGTGTTATGAACAGTTAAATACACTGAAACAAACAGTCTAAAATACAGCTTGTAGTTAATGCATCTGTTTTGAGCCAGAACTTTACTTAGTTGGTGTATAGCAAAGTGTGCCCCAAAGCATTGTGTGTGTTAAACTTACTACATATCCTTAATGACTGAAATTCTAGTTGATAGTCATCTGAGCTAATATTGCTCTTCTATAGCTATCAATAATTTTATTTATTCTAGCAATTTTTCCAGATTATTTTGTACCACTAGTATGGAAATGCCAGCAAAAAAAGTCTGTGCCTAAATAGGAAGATTTCTTATGCTGTTATTTCAGGAATAGACTATTCTTTATGGTGGAAGACAATAATGGGGAAAAGGCCAGGATGCTGGAAGGATATAGGCAACCTGGCTGTACCTGACTCAACCCTGAGGACTGGCACCAGAGGAGAGCTCAGCAGTGAGCCAGGTCAATCTGCAGACAGGATAATGTTGTTGATGTAAAGTCAGGTTTTATTAGCTCAGGTTGCCTTTCATGTTCATGCATTGCTCTCCAATGAGAGCTGGTGAGCTGCCCCCAACCTGCAGCATCAGGACTTTCAAGATGTGCCATCACTAGGCAAGGCCTTCTCCATAGTGCTGCTTTATGTCTGTCCAGCTCAAATACTGCTGGCATCCAGTGATCAATTTCCACAACCATGGATACAGGAATAAAGGTCAGAGAAGGGTCCTCAAAGTTGATTTCCCCCAGATTTCATTAAAATGTATGGATGAGTAAAATCAGAGGTCTTCTCAGTCCTCCTTAGCCATAATAGGAGATAAACTAGCAAGTATCACAGAAAATGATAAAAGCTTCAACAATGTTTCTGCCTAATCCATCACAACAGAATCCAACCATAAGCCACAGCATTATTAGGAAACTGAGACTATCTATTAATTTTGAGTCTTATGTGGTTTATCATATGCAATTATATATATATATATTATATATAGTGTGTGCAACATATAGATTGCATGTGCGTATGTGTGTGTGTGTGTGCATGTGTGCCGTGTATGTGCAAAAACACTTCTCTTTTATGTATGTATATATATCTTATTACATGTCAGGAAGGTGATGCATAGTGGCCCTTCATTTGAGAAGTTTACTCCGTGGTTCTGAGTTAATGGTTAAGTTCCAGGTCTGAACTTTCTCCTTCGCAGGTGCATTCTATCATTAGGATACAAAGTTCCAAGATAAAAACAGTTTTCTGATTTATGAATGTTTTTCTGATGTACAGATGTGAGAATGACAGTATTGCATAGCCAACATTCAGCATTTAATTTGTTAGAAGCTTGAAGGGATACAAAAACATATTTAACAGTCTTTTGTGACTGTTTATTTTGGGGAGTGAACAATGCCCTTATGCCTGGAGGTGATCCTTCAAAATGATGGCAGGAGATGAAGGAATTGGTAGAGCTGTGGCCACAGTTGCCTATTTTACTAGCTTTGTGTATAAATTAGAAAACATCAAGCTCCAGGCTGCCAGGCTGGTACCTTTCATAGGCAATAAATTCAAACAAAGGAATAAAACCTAGAAGGGAAAAAAAAAAGTGGTATTTTTTTCATTCGTTAGAACAGAAAAAGAACACAAGCTGACAGTTACTACTGAGTTTTATGCTGAAATGTTGTATTGGACTAAGCACAGAGATGTATCTTTCTATGGTAGTCAAGGGAAAGAACAGTCACATTTGCCCTGAAAACCACATTAGTTTAAGCAACATTTTCCTAATTTTTTGCAGACCTGCTTAAAGCTGAAGGTTTGTAATAAAATGTGAAGCATATCAGGTAACCTCAGTCATCATATTACTTAGGACACTTTTTCACAGCCCCATATTCACTTTTTGTAAAGGTATTTTATAAGCCTATGCTGATTTTAATGACTAAAATGTGCTTTCCATAATTTCTTCTTAGTTTGTTGACAGTTAAACTTTCCCAAGTCTCCCAACCAATTCCAGCTGTGTTCAGAGCCCAACAACAGTAAGACTGAGTATCAGTCTTGTAACTTTAAGTTAGTTAGAAGCACATTTTGTCAATTGCACCTTGGAATTATTTTTATGCAAAAATCACCCAAAAGTATCATCAGTGGTTCACAACTGAACTGATGTAGGTGAAGCAGAGAGCGAGTGTCAGCAAGAAAAAGTAACAAACCTAAACCTAAATTTGTCTTCTGCTAGCATTTTGTGATCACTGCTCACTTCTGTCACCTCATGCTTCCTCATATTTATTCCAGGCAGGGAAAGTTCATTTTGGCTACGTGTATGGGATGAGTGCCATGGGGTGCCTTGCCATGCATGCCCTGCTGAACCTGATGAGCGTCTCGGGAGTCTCGCACGGCTGCGTTGCCAGTGTCCTGGGCTACTGCCTGCTGCCCATGGTCATCCTGTCCTCTTGTGCAGTTGTCTTCTCACTGCAGTAAGTACCACTCTAGGGCAACAGGAATCCTATGAAGTGTGAGGTTTTGTGGACTTTCGGGTGCTCTGAGGCACCCACACTGTCGGGTTATGTTTTTCTTTAGAAAGCCAAGCATGTTAATAGTTGCTATAAAGTTATTTATTGTAGAAGCACATCAGTCTCAAAGGCAAAAACAAAGCAAAGCAATGGCATAAAAGCAATGGCAAAAGCAATGACATAAAGTAATGGTAAAACTGCAGTGGCAAAATACATTGGCAAAATGCACATGGCATAAAGCCATGGCATAGAGCACCAGCTCTCCTTAATGCATGTTTTTTAATAGACACTTTTTAACTAGCTAATGCACAAACTCAGACCACTACTTCTTAACCTATTAGAATTCTGGTTTCTTAGCACGCCAGACTATGTATAGACTACATTCATGGCCTATCTTGTTCTAACTGAAAAATGTAAGCAATATTCTTACTATAACTCTATTATTTTTGAAGCTAGATTTTTGGAGCCTCTATGGAAACACTAGTATGAGTTTTAACCTTCACTAGAATATGCAGTACTCCTCAGGCATCTAAGACCTTTTACTTACTAAAAGCACTTAAAACTTATTCCATTTCTTTACTTACTTACTTGCTCCATTTATTCACTTACTCATTCCTTCTAAAGGCTTTAATTCAATCTCTGCACTCTGATCTCTCTCTGAAGGACTCAGAGAGACTCTTGACTTACTGACTCCAATATGAAGGACAGTAAGTCAGGTGGCTGGTGTTGTGCAAAACATTTTATAAATGGTCACGTAGTAAATCTTGGCTTCTGAAACCATAACACCATTTTTTTTGTATGCATAGGTGGAAATAGACACAATTCGACTGTATTTTAGAGGGCTGGTATACACATATATTTTGATATGAGTCTTTAATTCCACTGCTTTCCACTTGGACTGAGAGTGCTGTTGATTTTTGCAGCAGCCTCAGTTGTGATTTTTGTTTTGCACAGCCAACAGTGGCCAAACTCAGGTATCAATTTTAAAATCAACTGCTGAACTTTGGGCTTATATAGCTGGTTGTCTTGTTTTGTTTTTTTTTTTGTTCATAGCATCAGGCCTCCCATCTTTATGTTTCCTACTGACTTCTGTGGGACAGAATGAAATAGCCAAGTAATCCTTAATGATGTGGAGAATTAAGACAAGCACTTAAGACATAGTAGATTTAGTATTAGTATTATATTAGTATTATAGTATTCTGAGGTATAATTTTGATACAATTGCAAGCCCGAAAATAACTGAATACTTTGAAAAACCAAATGTGTAGTGGTGTATGTATCTGTGCACATGTGTGGGGTTGTTCAGACATATTCTTTAAATAGCAAACCTTTTGGCAAGCCTCTCATTCCTCCTTGTTCAGTAAGCCCTTTGAGACACAGTGTTTATCTCCTTGTTAACACACAGAAAAGTACAAGCAAGTTCCAGATCTTTCCTGAAGGCCTTGAGCAGTGCTTTTACCTATCATTAACATGTTATTAAATGATTGTTTCCCTCCTCAGTCTCTTTTGTTCTCTCATATTTTTAATTCTCCAATCTCTAACATATGGAACCTAGCAGCTGATGAACGAGAAAATGTGCATTTGTTTTCTCTGGAAAAAGCATAAGTCTTATGTATATATATATATATAATTATTATTTTTTAAGGAAATTATGTGATGGAATGAAGTTTTGGCAAAATTCTTGTTACATGTTTCTGTGGAGCTATGATGGCTTAACCTGACCCTATTCCATGTATTAAAGTGTTTCTGAGCTGTCCTTGACAAGATGGATGAGAGTAATGCTGAAGAAGTTGTTTATTCTCTGTCCTCCTACACTTCCCACATTTTCTTGATTAACCTGTTTAATAATCCAGCCTAATAAAATGTGCAATATATAATTGTAAGACAGATGGGGTGAATTCCAAACCAGCTGTTACAACTGTGCAGGGTACTGTTTTCTCTACATGGAATCCCCAAGCACATACCACACATTTGTAAAATGCTGTGAATTTACAGAAAGCACATCTTTTGAAAGTCTTTAAATACGAAAATGTGACAGCCTTTACAAAATTGAACTGGTATTTCTAAAATGAATTGGTAACATTAAGTACCTATTGACAGGGTTTTGCAGCCCTTCCTTATTTGGTATATGAAATTGCTTGAACACAGCAAGTACCAAGGTTAATTATTGCAAGCATGCTATTAAAATTAAGCGGCAGCTTTAAAATCCAACATACATTTCATTATTTTTAATTTTTAAAATTATTTTAAATGGTAAAAGAAAGAGCAATATATTCATGAATTTAATAATATGTGTAAAAAGCATTACTTCTATTTCAAAGTCCAAAGAAATAATCTGATTTTTTTTTTCACCAAAGATATATGTAAGATAATGCACTCATCCATGGCAAAGATATATATAGTAATCTAATAACTCAATTTTCATGATTAGCTATTTCCCTGTAACAAAATAAAACAAAATATGGAACATTTGAGGTACTGAATAGTACCAAGGAGAAAACCAGTTCTCTTACTCAAATTTGCATGGAGCTAGAATTGTTTGTGCCCATCTATGCTATGATCATGTGTATGCTGTTATCATGTGTGAGCCCAAGTTTATTAGGCCATCTTTCTGGGAGAAACATCAATGGCTTTTTTCCTGCAGAAAGCCACAACAATTCCTTAATATCAAATCCCCAAACAGTGTGGTAAAGCTACTTCCTTAACTCAACAGTGAAGGAAATGAATGTAAGCATGAAGAGCGAAATTTTTAGACCCAGCTGATGCAAAGGACCCATTTGGTGACAACATCTGCAGGATGTGAGAGAAAGAGAAGTGGAAAGGGTCCACTCACATGTGTCCTTCCATGTCAGTCTCACACATGTACAGCCCCAATCCTCTTGGTCACTGTAAGCATGACATGTGCTTTTTGCCCTTCTTCCACTCTAGAGGATTTGACCCTCACAGACATACCAGACACAAAGCTCTCTGCCAAGCCATTCTTTTTTGCAGTAACACATTGTTAGATCAAGGACTGAATTTGTAGGTGCACAGCAGTACCTCTTGATTCTGACATGATTTTTCCATCCTGCTCTTGGCCAGTACTGGAACAAACCACAAGGGGCCATAAGGCTTCAGTCCCATTCAGTGTCCCATTGTGATAGTCCCCTAAAAAGTCATTATGTTAGCTGAAAGTTGTCATTGCACAGTATGTTCCTATTGCATCCCATCCCTCTGCCAGCATGGGTACCTGCTCAAAGAGCCTTCCATACCAGCTCTGAATTTCTGGCTTACTGTTTAGGTGAGCAACTTAGCATCTCTTCCTGGAGGAGAGGTCAGGAACGTGCTTTGCAAAGCCCAGTGGAATTCCCTTAAATGCCACTACATAGGTTTAAAAAACACTTAAACTGAGGATATTAAATCACATGGTCTTTAATGTTTTATTTTTAACTTGTTGAAGTTGCAATGAGGTGCTGAGTCACTGTAAAATCAATTCTTTCCTTCCTCCCTCAAAGGCCCAAGAGCTGGCAACACCAAGTACCTTATTGGCCTGGTGACTGGACTGCTAAGAAATCAACTATTTTATGTAATGTGAATGCATTAAGTAAACTAAGTCAATTACATAAGGACAGCTTTATTCATCACGTTTTAGTTGCAATAATTATATTAGCGGAGATAATCTCTGATAAAAGGACCTACCTGAGAATGTATACAAAGTCTGTTTTTCCCTCCTGCTACTGTTATGCTGATGCTTTGGAAGAGTGGGGCACCAGGAAGGCCTTTAGGAAATGTCAGAGGTTTATTCTTTCTCAAAGTCCTTGAGACTGACACAGCAAAACTCTGTAAAGCAGCCATCTCATTATGTACTTCAGCAGTGTATTATGAACATGATCTCATGCATTTTACAGAAGCGGGCTGCAAATAAAGTGCAGATAAAGCATGTGTGAAACATTATTTATTGGCAAGATTTTGTTCCCACAGGGTTTAATAGTGAGCCCTCTGTAATCTGCAGGAGAATTTCAGTGGGCTTTCAACCATAGTCCCATAATCACCAGTTCTCCAGGGCTCCCTGCTCCTGAAAGGGGGCACAGTGTAACTTCAAAAGGGCTCAGCTGTCACCAAGATGTAGGGTGGAAAGGCAGAGTCCTTTCAGTGTGCAGAGAAGGATGCCAAGATAAGCAAAATATTTTTCCTTGGTGGTTCTTTTCCCACTCCTTACTTTGTGCTCTGTGTGGTCCCTTTTTTAAAAGGCTAGTCAAGCTTTTTCCTGGGAGAGCTTTCTGCCCATCCAGCTGGTGTGAGTCTTTCAGAGCCTCTCCTGAGTGTCTAAGGCACACATAAAATCTGTTCTGTGTTTCAAAAATGCAACCCCTCCAGATCATCAGGCTTCCTGATGGAAGAGTAGATCTGTAGTGTCATTTTAGAACCTAACAATTTCTGTAAGATGATTTTGGCTGAAATAGGAACTTGGCTAAATTTAATATAAAACTTTAGCAGCTGCATCTGCTGGAGGCCCAGAAGATTTATTTGTAAATGTACAGTCCTTTTAGCAGTGCTTCTGATTAAGCTTTTATCCATGCTGAAGATATTAATTTTCTGTTTATGGTTACAATTTTAATTTGCTGTCATGCTCGACTTTCACTGTGCCAGTTAGTTCTTGGTTCTTCCATTGGCTGTTACCTGTCAGTAACATGCTGCTAGACATCAACTTGAGTTTGGTAGGATTTGGTGCTACATTTTATAATATGCCGACTCTGTCATGTTTCTTTTATGGCTTTTGTTTTCTCCTAGGGGGATGCCAGGAACTGTGTTTGCCCTGTTTATTATTGGATGGTGCAGTTTGTCAGCCTCCAAAATTTTTACGTCTGCATTGGCTATGGAAGGACAGCAGCTCCTGATTGCATACCCATGTGCTTTACTTTATGGACTTTTTGCACTTCTAACAGTTTTCTGAGATGTATTTTTTGGTAGTCTTCTTACAGCCTGTTTATGGTTGTTGGAGGGGAAGGGTTTATTTACTTATTTTCAGATTGCCTAGAGTTGTGTTAAATTCCATTAACAAAATTAGATTCTATGACTTACTGGTTTTTTTACTAATGGCTGATAATGAAATAAAAAATCAAGCTAACAGGTCGATGGCCTTAAAATAATGGTGTTTTGACAGTCTTACAGCTTAAGGAAAAGAAATTATTTTCTTGAGAAAGTTGTAAAAGTGGATAAAAGAAGGAAATAAATTATAATTAAAATAAAAAAGCCTGTTATGATTTGTAAGTATTTCTAATATAATACATATGCTAGAGAGTAACTAGAATGCAATTATGTAAATATTTAATGGACATAGTAAATCAAGCTAAAATGCATATTTATTTGTTTTTAAAGAAACAGCTTGCCATCTTATGTAATTACTAATTAATATCCAACATTTATAGGTTTGGTTTTGGGTTTTTTTTGTGACAGAAGACTGAGTGACCCTGTTTTGTGACATTGGAGAATTGGCCAGGAACAGGCTGATACAACAGAAGGAGCCAGGAGCCTATGAAGGTTGCCTTATTTTTTCTTTTTTTTTCTTTTTTTTTTTTTTTTTTTTTTTTAAGAGGTACTGGAGTCCAAAACACCATTGTACTGTTTTTAATGCACAGTAACATTATATTTTAAAATTTTCACTAAACCACTACCTGCTGTAACGGCAAGAAAGCACCACACAAAGTGGAGGCAACCCCTACAAATGTGTCCTGAAAGGCAGAACTGTATTTGAACAGGCAAAATACAAATCTCCATAATTTTATCTGCCCCTAAAAAATCTATTTGCTGTTTTTAAGGGAACCAAGCGTTTATATAATGGCAATAAAGCACAGAATGCACAAGATGATATTTTAAAATATAGTATTAGAAATATCGAGCCATCAAGAGGAATAGGAGATGAGTGCAGTCACAACATGAAAAAAATCTAAATGAAGTAGAAGAGAAAATAAGGGAGGTGTAGAAAGAACTAGCAAAAGTAGATACATGAAATAAATGGAAATGTGAAGGAAATAAATTGTAGCAGATTAATTCTTCAGTGTCTTATGGTGTCTTTCTTCTTGATGCGTATTCTTATGATCATTATTATCCTCAATTGATTGTTTTGAACTCTTTGGTGAATTGTTTACAAAATATTTTCTTTCTAGACAGAGGGCCAGTGATTCTGGGACAGAGGGTCCTGATGTTGCAAACACTTAGGCAGAAGCTTAGTATGACAAAGCTGCTCAAGAATACACAAAAGTAATTGTATTCCTAATCCTTTTCAAGTCAGAGGTAAATTAGATGATCAGTTTGTTCTCAAGCTAGTGAGTCTCTTTCTGAATTGAAAGAGTCCTTGGTAAAAATATTTACCATTGCTGTCATATTTGGGGTTTTTTTTAAGAACTCTTATGCAAGCCATTCTGGAATTCATTTTACTGAATTCCAGCAGAACTGATTCAGAGTAGAGGTCATGAGAAGCAAACAAAAGGTAATGTATATTTAGCTAATTCCTTAAAAAAATCACAACTCATTTATGGAAGAAAAATCTGCATTTTTCCATTTCTTTACTGCAACGCTATGAAAACAGAGGGAACAGAGGAGGCCAAATTGGAGGCACGACCCTGCAGCACATTGTGGCTCTAACTAGGCAGGATCTAGTTGTATGCAAGTGGGAATTGTGTGAATTTGGAAGATCAGCAATTGTAAACATGACTAATTTGGCCCTGCTGTATCAGGAAGTAAATCTGACAGTAATAAGGCACAGATAAACATGTCAAGTGACTGCAGGGTATGGATATAAAAATCAGGTGCTTTGATTTACCACGCATTAATGGCATTCTCATGTCTGAACGGGGACAGATTCATATGGTTGCACTAGTTATAGAGTTCAGGAAAGATGGTTTAGAAATACTCAGATCCATTTCTGTCCTGCACTTCCTATTATCATTCATACTGTCTAAAACAAGTATAAAACAGCTCTATTCTGCAGCACTTTATGTTCATTCTCATACTGATCTGCATGATATGAATGGCAGGGGAAGCAGTGAATTGAGCCATCAATTTTTCTTTTGATGTCATAGACAAGTCAAATTATGGGGAAAATGAGCACCTTGAAATTTTACCACAACATTTACAAAGCAAATGGTAGTCTAATTATAGTTTTATGTTTATTTTCTTAGAATTTGTAGCTTCCTCCTTTTCTTCACTGAGAGACATCTTCATAATTTTGAATGCTAAGATTTTAATTCCAATAATTTCCCTTGCTTTACTGGCTTTTTTTGTGCCAATTTCCTTTTACCTATTCCCAAAGGATTTCCAGTAAGTGGTACATGCTGGTGCTGTGGTCCCAGTATGGTGTCCTTCAAGAGTCTCTATGATGATTGAGAGGGTTTAACTGTCTTAGATGTGCTTCTGCTTTGAAACAAGATTCCTCATTATTACCCAGCTCTCCTTTCTGGAGGTCAGCTTAGCCGTGGTGGTGCTTTTGACCATGTTATTCTTGTGTGTGCTACCTAAACCTAAAAATATTATGGTCACTATCACAAACTGTTACTTCATAAAAAAATAAGTGTTATTTTGATCTAAAATCAGTTTTAAACATATATATTTGGTAATAAGCTCTTATTCTGACTCTCTGGACAGGCTTTCCCAACACCATTTATCTTTCTTTTGTTTTCTCTTGCTTGGGGCCTCATATTTAACTCCCTCATATCTTTCTATGAAAGTTTAAATACAAGGTTGGCAAACTGTTGCTTTCAACTTGCCAAAGACAGGATTATAAAATAGTAATGGGTCACATATGGATTTTTAATTCAGGCTTCCCACTCCAAAGTTAAAAAAAATTCATGAGACTTACAAATAAGCTTGAAAACACAAAGGGAAAAATAATGGTTTTGGAGAGTGAAGTTTTCTGATCTGTCTTTCGTTTCTTGTTCTTCACAGCATCCCCATGAAATGTTCTGAATGTGCATTCACACACAAAAATGGGCATTTATGTAGGCTATGTGAATTATTTAATTCAAAGGGTGATGCAATTGTTGGACACATACAGTAAGACAGAGATGTAGGAGAAAAAGTGTTTGCCTGCCTTCCACTGCACTTCTTGTGTGCCAGGCATACTCAAGGTCACCCCCAGAAGAAAGTATGCAGCATTCTTCTGTAATACAAACACTTTGCTGTTCTATCACAAATAAATGCAGGGGGGCATGAAAATGAGCATATTCTGAGTGAGAGGAAGCTATAACATGTGGCTGACTGTGCAAGGGCAATAAAATGGTTTCATATCTGACTAGTAGCTGCTGACAAAATGTCGGGTTGCATCTGGTGACCTCCTCTCTCAGGCCACTTCTGTAGTACCAAAGTTCCACTCTTTGATCAAAAATCATCTTGTCACAAGTCATCTCTAATAGGTTATAATATGACCTTGAATGGTTTAACTGTTGGTAAGCTGAATTGAGGGCAGAAAGCTGCTGACACATTGAATTGGGCACATGCTGTGCTTCTTGGTGAAAAAGCTCCATTAGCAAAGAGTAATATTTTTCTAGTTTTTTTAGCTTAGAAGCCACAGAGGGTTTATATACAAACCAGTGACCTCATTTCATGACTGTGTTGTTTATGTCGTTTGAGAATGAGAAAAGACAGCTCTGTGTCTTGACTTAGACCTTTCTTGCCACCACTTTATTTCAGTGCCTTGCTAAACAGCCATCTCTATATATTGGCATTTTCTGTTCACTGAATGATCTTAAGTGAATTTTACAGTAAGGCTGAATCAGTCATCTTTATTCTGACCAATAATAGATATAAATGAAGCAAGAATTCAAGAAGTTGTGCCTGTTTTAAATTTCCTTTTTTCTCCCTTATTGTCATGAGTATATTTAGTGGTCAGACCATTGTGGATCATTTCATGCCTGGCAGATAAGAATACATGATGTACATAAGAATATATGATATCCATATACATATGTAAAAGTAGAGATATGCATATATATGATAGAGTGCAAGACATTGGATCTGCAATAAATTCTGAACAGTAGATTGCCACTTTTTAGGGCATAATATCAACCATCTGTTGAACCCAGCCTGGGAGATGATGTATATCCTTCCAAGGAAACAGTAATTGAAGCATTTGATAAGCCCTGTGGGGAATCACTGCACATAATGACAATGCTCATGGCGACACAATGCATTTATTGGTTAATGTATTTCCTGAAAGATAACAAAAGGCTACTGAATCAGTAAGTAATGGGTTACTGCAGCATGATGGCTACAAAAACCAACTGCATAATTAATGTCAATCTGCCTAGATCATTGTAATAAGAAACTGATCTGTACCTGTGTTGGTATCACTCATGGATATGTTCATTTCCAAAATCTACTCTCTGTCAAATTTTCACTGATTCATGTTCAGTTAGTCTCTTGCCTGTTTATTCTAAGCAAACTGCAAGAGTGTTATGAGCAGTACCAATTCTGTAGCTGTGGGTCATGACTTGTCTTCTTAAACAATTTCATCTCCTCAATGTTCCTGAGAGTGCATTCTTTTAGGAGAGGTCAAAGCAAACACAAGGGCTGTGTTTTAGTTGTTTGCCAAGTGCTTTTGAAAGAATAACATCTGCGACAATGGCAATACGTTTGCTGTGATTACCAAGCACATTTATTAAGAGTTATGGTCACATCATTAGCTTAAAACTGCCCAGTGACCTTGGTGCTGCATCACTGAACTAGATGGACGATGCAATTCACAGTGATCTGCATACGGTTGCATAATAAAGACCTTGGCCAACACGTACCCTCTGCTCTGGTAGCATTTTAGTTACAATTGCAAAAGAAGGAATCATTACCCTTCTTTTGCCATGACATTAAATGAAGTGATAATGAGTGAGAAGAGGTCACAAAACACCAAACACTCATAGTTGTAAACATAACAGACCATGTGCAAGCCACCACTTTGCAGAGAA